TGCTTCTGGCATTGACTTATATGCTGCCCCTGTCTTCATGTTGTTGCTGGACATATCTTTTTTTAAATGTGTGTAGGTCACCTAAATCATCAGAAAAATTGCCCCCCCTGAGAATTTTTTCAGGAGCTGCCACTGCATGTAGGGTAGCCATCCTCAGACCAGTAGCGAACCATGCAAAACCTCCCATCCCCCATTACTATTGCTGAGTTACTAATAGATTGCCAGGCATGGCAAATAATACACAGTACACCACAAATTCCACCATTACTATGCACACTCCATTCATAAATGTCAAAAAGGTCCCGTGTGTCTCAGTTGGTAGAGCATGGCGCTTGCAACGCCAGGGATGTGGGTTTGATTCCCACTGGGGACCAGTACGAAAAAGTATGAAAATGTATGCACTCACTGCTGTAAGTCGCTCTGGATAAGAGTGTCTGCTAAATTACTCAAATGTAAATGTAAAAAAGCTGATTAAGCATGGAGTACATTGAGTCCAAAGCCAGTAAGCCATCAAATTGACTCAGGGTGTGTAAGTGAGTAAGAGCTAGGCTACAGCTTCCCTGTGACACCATGGGTAAATAAATAAAGACATATTCCGGTTGAAATAGAGTCTGCTATCTGGGAATCTGATTACAGGATACTAGCGAGGAGGAAGACCAACAGGAACTCTCCACATGCAAGACAAGACACATTACTTGTAGTCACTTTCATTGGCAGCCTGACAACTCACTCTAAATTATTCCGCTGCTCTGTTGTTGGCTACATACTTTAGTCTGAGACTGCCATCATTTAAGTTGTTTGTGGTGACGAGGGGCGTTGACCAAAACAAAGTCATCAGCGATTGGATCATCTTTAACCAATTACATTTTACATTTTAGTCATTTAGCAGACGCTCTTATCCAGAGCGACTTACAGGAGCAATTATGGTTAAGTGCCTTGCTCAAGGGCACATCAACATATTTTTCACCAAGTCGGCTCGAACCAGTAGTCCCAACGGTCTTAACCGCTAGGCTACCTGCTAACCGCTAGGTTACCTGCCGCCCTATCAGAGTATGAAAGCCAATGACACATTTTCAAGCCACCGCTTTACCCATGTTTGTTCTGGCTTTGGCCCAACCCATTGGACCAATCAGATTCTCCGAATGCGTTTGCATTCGGTGAAGGGTAACCTAACGTAACAGGCATAGCATTTGGCCGGAGCAAGGAGTATAGGTAGCCAGGCAATTTCAAAGACACACCCAGACTACACACATCACTTGCTGTGTCATATCAGGTGTGACACAAGACAATGTCAACAGTTTAGCTAGGCCCTAGCTGTTAGGGCATAAGTCCCTCGATGACTACAGTGATGATGATGATCATGATGATGATGATGATGATGTGGCTTGAGGCTATCATGCAGTCATACCATTGGTTGAGGGTCTTTGTGGCAGTGAAAGCACTCAATTTAAAAAAAAGTTTACAAAAAAAGATGTTGATAAGGGGCCACATCTTCCAGTCACTCACATGTAGCCTATCAAGGTAGCCTACTGCAGATCCTCTCAAGCTCTGTCAGGTTGGATGGAGAGCGTCACTGCACAGCTATTTTCAGGTCTCTCCAGAGATGTTCGATTGGGTTCAAGTCTGGGCTCTGGCTAGGCCACTCAAGGACATTCAGAGATTTGTCCCAAAGCCACTCCTGCGTTGTCTTGGCTGTGTGGTTAAGGTCGTTGTCCTGTTGGAAGGTGAACCTTCGCCCCAGTCTGAGGTCCTGAGCACTCTGGAGCAGAGTTTCATCAAGGATCTCTCTGTACTTTGTTCCGTTCATCTTTCTCTCGATCCTGACTAGTCTCCCAGTCCCTGCCGCTGAAAAACATCCCCACAGCATGATGCTGCAACCACCATGCTTCACTGTAGCGATGGTGCCAGGTTTCTTCCAGATGTGACGCTTAGCATTCAAGCCAAAGAGTTCAATCTTGGTTTCATCAAACCAGAGAATCTTGTTTCTTATGGTCTGAGAGTACTTTAGGTGCCTTTTAGCAAACTCCAAGTGGGCTGTCATGTGCATTTTACTGAGGAGTGGCTTCCATCTGGCCACTCTACCATAAAAGCCTGATTGGTGGAGTGCTGCAGAGATGGTTGTCCTTCTGGAAGGTTCTCCCATCTCCATAGAGGAACTCTGGAGTGATGTCAGAGTGACCATCGGGTTCTTGATCACCTCCCTGATCAAGGCCCTTCTCCCCCGATTGCTCAGTTTGGCCGGGTAGCCAGGTCTAGGAAGAGTCTTGGTTGTTCCAAACTTCTTCCATTTAAGAATGATGGAGGCCACTGTGTTCTTGGAGACCTTCAATTCTGCAGAAATTAGTTTGGTACCCTTCCCCAGATCTGTGCCTCAACACAATCCTGTCTCGGAGCTCTAGGGACAATTCCTTCGACCTCATGGCTTGGTTTTTGCTCAGACATGCACTGTCAACTGTGGGACCTTATATAGACAGGTGTGTGCCTTTCCAACTCATGTCCAATCAATTGAATTTACCACAGGTGGACTCCAATGAAGTTGTAGAAACATCTCAAGGATGATCAATGGAAACAGGATGCACCTGAGCTCAATTTCGAGTTTCATAGCAAAGGGTCTGAATACTTATGTAAATAAGGTATTTCTGTTTTTTTATTTGTAAAAAATTTGTAAACATTTCAAAAAACCTGTTTTCGCTTTGTCATTTTGGGGTATTCTGTGTAGATTGATGAGGATGTTTTTGTATTTAATCCATTTTAGAATAAGGCTGTAAGGTAACAAAATGTGGAAAAAGTCAAGGGGTCTGAATACTTTCCGAATGCACTGTGTGTCACTCAGCAACAAATTGTGCCATGGAAATATGTTGTTGTTTTTTCATCTCAATAGGCTATTTTATGGAGTGTGAATGATGAACATGAACATGTGATGTGTGACTGGGAAAAACAACAACAGCTCAGCCAGCTGACTAAATGCAATCGCCAACAATAGGAAAGCATGACATATTAATCTAACTGTCGGTATGCAGCTGCCTTGTTGACCTCATTTCTACATAAATAAAAAATTATTACAGATTTTCTCATTCTAGGAACTGGTAATATTACCAATGTGTTGGAGAAATGAAAAAATTAGACAGAAAAAATCATAAATGCATTGCAAAAACATAATCATTACATAATTATTGTACCTACCATCACAGCCTTCATATTGTAATTTGACAGCTCCGTCTTTCTGAATCCTCACATCCCGCGGTCCCTCAATCCTTTTCGCAGTATCCACCACTGATGCATCGGCAACTGGGCCAGAATTCCTCCTCCTATGTCCCTGAGCCAGGTTTATGCAGCATTGGTAACACACTGCCCAAGCCTGCTCTTCATTTATCGGTTGGCTGTAGAGCATTAAAATCTCCTCCAAAGACAGTTCATCTACCCCTCTTTCTTCCATTCCGTCCATTTTTGCCAGCCCGGGATACGGCGGCTCATCTCGCTGGACCGCAGTAGGGCCGATCAGCTCTCCGCTCTTCTCGTCCGCATCTCGCCGCTTGGCCATCCTTTCATTCTATCGACCGAGAAGGGCCAGTGATGACACGAATAAACCGGGAGCCGCAGATAAACAAACGATCCGGGCAGCCTGAAGACATCGGAAAACCTGCGGTTCCCTGTCCCTCGCAACAGCAGCACAACCACCGACAATTATTATTATTTCCTCCGCCTTGCAGTGTTTTCTTATGGGTGCCAGTCATATGACGGTGTTTGCATGGTCTGTACGCCTGTTAGGTTTCGGTCGACTTCAGAGGAACGCATACATATGACATGCGCAGCCAAAGGATTTTATTTCCCACTTTCCCTGTTATTTTGTGCCATCTACTGGCCAATTTGATACGAGTACAGTGTATGTGAATACATCTAGGCAATGTGTAGGCTACTCTGGCAATTATGTTTTGCTCTCAAACAAATATTTCTCAATGATGGATTTGGGTGCACATTTCTATTCATATTGAATTCCTCATATTAATGTTTGAAGGTAGTGATTTCTTAAGGGCTATGTGCATTCCTACTTCTCTATGGAGGAACTTCCACTAACTACCCTGCCCTTAGTTCTGCAGAAGCCGAGCATGACTCACTCTCTTTCTCTCACAAACTGTAAACGTGAAAGATTCCTACAGGGCCAGGCCATTCATTCTAATATGTTGTCAATATGTAATTTTTACAACCTTACCTACCGATATAGCCTACCAACACAGACAAACCCTAACCCCAATCACAGACCATTTTCATCATATTGACTGTTTATCTATTTATGGCATACATAATGCTTACACATACATATATATATATATATATATATCTCTTTTAACATCAAATATACACAACATGCGACAACACACAAATATTTATAGCATCTTTGTAACACTATTTGTTGCCAAGGTGAACCAATACCTCATGAACACGTACCAGATGTGCTTGGATGTGCAGGTAAAATAACACATTTCTCACATATACAAGTAACTATGAATAGTATCACTCAAAGATGTAGCTATCAATATGCACAACACAGATGTGGAATGATTGAAAATGCATAAACTACCATAAATAGATATTTAGAGAGCTCATTCGTTTCAGCACATAGTTAAAGGCCCAATGCAGCCATTTTATCTCGATATCAAATAATTTCTGGGTAACAATGAAATACTGTGATTGTTTTCAATTAAAATTGTCAAAAAGTAACAAATATGGCATTTTAGCAAGATCAATTTCTCTAGCAAGAATTTTACTAGGACTGTTTTGGAGTGGGGATGGGAAAACTGAAAACTAGCTGTTATTGGCAGAGAGGTTTGGAACACTTTCTTATTGGTCTATTAATGAATGTATCACCAGTCAGGCCAAAACTCCATCCCACCAAAACAGGCTGAAATTTGAGTCCGTCTTACACTAAAACAGCATTATCATAATGCCACAATTTCTTTCCAACCTCAGTGTGGGAATATATATAAAACACAGGAAAAATCACGTTTTTGACTGCACTGGGCCTTAAAATACAGTGTACTTTGATTATGCAGTTTTCAAAAAAAATCTGTAAACAAAACAAACAACATTAACATCAAGCCATTGTTTGTCCTCAGTTTGTACAAATGGAGGGGTCACTTTAAGTGCTTTAAACCACAAGGAATGAGCATGCACATCTGAGGAGAGCAAGGAAAAACAGTATCACCCAGACATGAGCAAAGCAGAAGAGAGGAGGATTAGAGGAGAGGAGAGCAGATAGCAGAGCAGAGAACGGGGAAAAGAGCAAAACCGGGAGAAAGATTTACGGGAAAACACAAGTTAGTCGGTAAGCATAAAGACAAGACAGAACAGAGGAGTCAGGTACAGTGAAAATCTATTTGAAGTCCAGCATGTTGCAGTCTATCTTGTAGTAAACATAAGGGTAGTACTCCTGCTGGCTCAGGTTCAGACCAGGGATATCCATGGCAGACTACAAGGGAATAAAGAAACATGACAGAGACCATTAGCTTACACGGTAAATAACATTAACACGACAGGGATAATGTGGTTGTCTAACAGGTCTGCTGAACCAGACAATATAAAATCTGATTTAGCTAATGTACCGGAATTTTTAATACACAACATTTGTTACTACAAAGATACAACAGGTATTCATCTGGACACAACGGGTATATATCAGGTCTAATTACTCACATCGATGACAGCTGCAGCGCTGCTGTCCAGGTGTTTGTATAGGTCATTGAGAACCTCCCTCAGTTTCTTCATGTTCTTCTTGTTGGGCTGGAGCAGCATGGCCTGGAAGTTCACAGGCAGCCCATATCTGTGGGAGCAGGGGCAGAGCAGTTACATCACTAACAGCAGGCACAGCACACAGTCAGTTTGAGATATATTTGTTAGTTTTTTTATTCAGGTTTGACTTCTTGTCACTACAAGCATCTTGTCACGCACTACAAACATCTAACAATTGGACAACTGTTAGTATAGTGTGATCGTCATACCTTAAGACTGACTCCACAAAGACCCTCAGAGCCTTGATGTGAATCCATGCGATGAAGGCCTCACTGAAGTTCACTTTCAGCCATCGCACCAGTGGCCCCTGACAGAGGGAAAATAACACTTAGGGTTAGAGGCTCCATCCACCCGACTGTGTAGCTGGTACTGTCCAATAGTTTCACCCACCTACCCGCAGGGATGTCCGAACACTAAGTGTACTTGCAATGAAACATTTCTTTACAGTGTAATGTTTCCGTCACATATACCTTGGTCAGGCATCATTCCCCGTCATATGACTTACAAACTGCTTCTTCTTGTCTGTGGAGAGACGTGTCATCTCCTCTTTGTCCGCATTCATCTCCTGCTCGTTGTACTGGAAGTCCCTGACTGTGTACCTGATAGAAACAGCAAGACAATTACATATGGAGAAGAAACAGCAAGACAATTACATATGGAGAAGAGTGTGTGTGTGTGTGTGGGGGGGGGGGGGGGGGGTCTTACTTGTTCTCTCTGGCCTTGTGTCTGAAGTCATCGATGGCCTTCCTGAATAGGGTGACGCTGAACAGACCACTGTCATGGTCCTCAAATAGCAGGCTGTAATAATGGGACAAGCAGAACACAGTCACACAGGCATGATGGACTCACAATGAAACCACTTCATGAGCAGAAAATACTAAAAGAGATATGAAAGACATGGATTGAATAGACTACTGAAGTAGTTATTTTAACATGCATTCACCATGGGCTCTGAATCTCCTATATACTTACTTAGTGGATCGGGGTACCACCATTTCAGACAGCGTTTCATAGGTCTTCTGCCAGTCAGCATAACTTGTCCTAGAAGCATCCAGAATTGTTAGATAGCAAACAGCTGCTATAAAAAAATGGGCCTGCTATGAAATATGAAACTGTTGTAAATTGGCAAAAAAGTAGTACTTACTTTGGTACAACCACCAGCATAGTGATCAGATACTCTGAGTCAATCACAAAGTCCTCCTTCTTGACAATGTCAGCCAGACTCCTGGTCAGCAGGCTCCCCCTACAGACACAACATGGTATTGTATTATATATTAATGATAATGTAAACAAATGTTGAAAGAAACAACTGAACAAAGCAAATATGCATTGGAAGACTTTTCCTCAACAACACTGGTTCAAATATCATTCTCACTGAAGACATAGATTAGCTTCAGTGGAAAATATAGTAATGCCCTCAAGCAAAACTTGACTCACGCGTTCTTCCTCTCCAGATTCTGCAGGTTCCCTTTCAGGTTGTTGTAGGCAGACGCTCTGGCCTTCAGGTCGTTGTCAATCTGGCTTACTTGCTGTAGAGAGGAAGAGGTCAAGTACTCAGAATACAACCCATGTAAAAACTGTGCACAGTGTTCAACAACAGATTTACTCAAGAGGTAGAGAAAATACAGTTGATTGATACCATTCAAATATTATTTACTTATTGATAGTTATATACCTTCATGTGCTATCAAAATGATGACTACCTGACAGTTATAAAAAAGGGTTTCCGTCTAACTAATTATCAAGAGAATCAGATGAGGAGGGTGGGAGAAAGACTTGCCTTGGATATGATATCAGAGATGTTCTTCAGTGACTGCTTGATGGGGTACTTGGCCATGTCCCACTGAAACCGTGTGATGTAGGTCACCAGATCCACTGGAGGGGGAATCAAGGCATTGTTATTCTGGGCAGGACTTGTAAGAATGTTGTTTTTACATTATGATGCATGGCTTTATGGTTAATTGCAAGATACTCTAATCAACCATTTCTAAATGTGCTGGTATTTCTTTAGTATTTAGTATTAACAACAGGGTAAAAAGGATAATTGCTTAGTCAATCAATGTGAACAGTAGAGGTAGCAGCACACTTCCTGGATTCATTGTTTTTCCAGAGGAGCCATTTGTATGTGATGATAACTAACTAGCTAATCGCCAATGTCCTCCATTGTTTTCATATGAGTAACTTGTATGTGATGATAAGTACCTCCGTTGGCCAGCAGGTTCTCCTGGACTTTGTCTCGGCTGTCCTCCAACACATCAGCCATGTACTGAGACACCTTCTTCACCACACTGTGAACAGCCAGGAGACATTCACACAATCAGGCCGCAGTCAGCAAGCCCTCACATCAAAAGGGGAATATACCATGCTTTCATATAGCACTCTGCTCAAGACATCAAAGTCTAAGCAGACTGTTCATTGGGCTGGGTATGAGTGTTCATCTATCTATAGTCTACAGCACCAGACTAACAACTGTTATTCAACACTTATTATTCACAGAAATAGATTGTAACTATTTTGTTGTTTAGCACTGTAGTTGCCTTCCCCTGAGCCAAAATTATGCGGATAATACTTGATATGCTTACAATCCAATTGGTGTGATCAGTGGCTGATGGAAAAAAAACTCTATTCCATGCAATGACAGTATGGTTGATGTCAATAAGCCTTAGGCTTGTTTGTCTAGACAACTGACACCTAAAAACGCTGTCAGATTAAGCAAATCCAAAATCAGTCTGTAAAGGTGTTACTTTGGCATGAGCTTTCTCATCTTCAAATTTCCTACAGACAAGTTCCAAAACAAGGCTGCTATTGCCCTATGAGAGGTAATTGGGTTGCTAATGTTGGCATTTTTTGAGAGTCAATGTCTACACAGGAAGAACGTGTGAATTTTTGGACGTCAAGGTTTTCCAAGGATTATAAATAACTTCAAACCAACAGTAGCACACAAGTCATGAGGGATAAATATGACTGAGTAAAGAGATGCTGGTCTGTCACCAAACTGTAAATTGCTAACTTTAGTCTGTAGGCCTGCTAGCATCACGTCTGTGTGAAATTCCTCACTGTAGCAAGGTTAGGGCCACAGAGGGATTAGAGAACTGACTGGACTCTGAAGACATCACAGACTCACATTGGTTTGAGAGGCACTTTGACAAAAATAATATGTCTATCACAACACATTCACAATGGACAAGCTGTATAAATAGTAAGGAATTTGATATTTTGTACAGTGATCATAATGTTCAAAGGGGAAATTGCAGTGTAGTAAAAAGCCTACCCTTCAATAAAGGAGTCCAGTTTGGCCAGGTCATCCGACAGCCCAACTAACACATCTAGCGTCCCCACCTGTTAACGCAAAAAGGACCAAACATGTCAGAGCTTTGATTAGAGCAGTGTTTCCCCTACCCTCATATAGCGGGGCAAGCCTATTCTATAAGCGGGGTGAGCCCATTGGTTTCATTGGCTTGATGCCAGAGGACTTTGATCAAACTAGGGCAAACTCAAACTAGGGCAAAGACTGGATGAGAGTCCTGAGGTTAGGGGGTTTGGTTGTGCTGCCTGCCTGCGTTTTGTTTTGAAAGTCAGTCACCCAACAGTGACATTCAGGGGCCCGTGTGCTTTGGATGGCGCCGCTTTGGTTGGGACCCCTTCATGCGTTGCAAACAGTTCCAGGAGAACCGTGGGGTGCCGTCCACCCAATGTGACACACAGTGTCAGTAGGGTCACAGAGGATAACCATCAACCATCCTATAAGGATGGATGGCACTTCTGGAGTAATGAAATGAGAAAGCTTTGACCCATACCATTATTAACAGATCACTTATTGGGAGCAGTGAACGGACAATACTTATTTCTCTATAGTTACTTTTGGAGTAATACAAGGAAGATGATTTCACTTGTGAATACACTATGGCAACGTTTTGTGGAAGCCTTGTTTCACATAGGAATGTAGAGGAGCTAGTAAGTATACTGAACAAAAATATAAAACGCAACATGCAACAATTTCAAAGACTTTACTGAGTTACAGTTCATATAAGGAAATCAGTCAACTGAAATAAATTCATTAGGCCCTAATCTATGGATTTCACATGACTGGGCAGGGGCGCAGCCATGGGTGGGCCTGGGAGGGATGTAGGCCCACCCACTTGGGAGCCAGGCCCACCCACTGGGGAGCTAGGCCCAGCCAATCAGAGTGAGTTTTTCTAAAGACAGAAATACTCCTCAGCACACCCCCTCCCCCTCCTCAGATGATCCTGCAGGTGAAGAAGCCGGATGTGGAGGTCCTGGGCTGGTGTGGTTACACGTGGTCTGCAGTTGTGAGGGCGGTTGGATGTACTGCCAAATTCTCTAAAAAGGCAGCTTATGGTTCAGAAATTAACATTAAATTCTCTGCAACAGCTCTGTTGGACATTCCTGCAGTCAGCATGCCAATTGCACGCTCCCTCAAAACTTGAGACATCTGTGGCATTGTGTTGTGAAAGACATTCACATTTTAGAGTGGCCTTTTGTTGTCCCCAGCACAAGGTGCACCTGTGTAATGATCATGCTGTTTAATCAGCTTCTTGATATGCCACACCTGTCAGGTGGATGGATTATATCTTGGTAAAGGAGAAATGCTCACTAACAGGGTTGTAAACCAATTTGTACACCAAATTTGAGAGAAATAAGCATTTTGTGCATATGGAACATTTCTGTGATCTTTTATTTCAGCTCATGAAACATGGGACCAACACTTTACATGCTGCGTTTATATTTTTGTTCAGTATAAGTTAGTTGGGCTGGGCGATATGGCCATTTTCATTCATCATTTTCTAATTCTAAGTGTTTATTTGGCTTTCTCCATTCTGATTATTTTATACTCAACCAAACTAGGAGAAACTGATAGTGAAGTAGTAACTTTTTATTTAAAATAATAATAATCCATACCGGTATGTGGCTCTGTACTGGTATTCATGATATATCACCCAGCCCTATAAGTTAGTATGGTAATGTAGTAGCTACTATCTATGGCTACTGCTGCATGCTAACCTTGAGGTCTGGGATGTTGAACTTGTTGTTGGTGGACAGGTTGTTGTTGCGCGTGGTGGCCACCATCATCTGGTCCCATGTCTGCTGGCATGTCTTCTCTCCAGGAGCTGAGATCAACCAGAACTCTGTCATGGCTACAGCTACACACTGATCACTACAGGCTCACAACGGAATGCACAGAGATGGGTGCTGTAAAACAAGAACAAACATTTTCACTTGTTCAACAGGACTTAATTTGTAGTACAGTATTATCAATAGCAACGTTATTCTCCATTTCATGTTGACACATCAGTAGATAAATGCTAGGAAGACAACATTGACTGCTATTTAATCAATCTCTGTCTCCCCAAACCTGTCTTATTTACGTGCTGCTGATATCTGGTTAGCTAGCAAGCATGCAAGATAAAGGATATTTGTCTTCTTTACCTTAAAAGTTGCTAACGTTAGCTAAACCTCACTAACGTTCCTGCAAGTGACATTCTCTGTTCATTGAAACATGACCCATAGCTAGCTAGCTAGTGTCACATGATATCGAGCAGATTTACAGTCAAAAAAACAAATGACAGTTTTCACATTTCTTACCTGAGATCTAATGACAAAACGATTCGAACACTAATCAATTACTACCGTACAATTCCGAAGGTTTAATATTCATAATTGCCAATCAAATCGTAATACTAGAAGGTCTTTCCAACAGCATCACATTCAAGTCAGCTGATCAGATGAGGAACAGAAAGGCCTCTCGTGGGGGAGGGGATCTTTTTGACGTCACGACATTTGACAGACGACCCCAGCTGGTTTGGAGGAGGTACTACAGCATGGACATTTCAAAACAGAGTAGGACGATTTTTTTTATTTTACAGAAATCGTTTAAAAAAGTAGCAGGGTTGGGGTCAGTTGGTCCATTTAAATTTAGGAGTGCTATTGATTTACAATGAGTCATTTTAACCATTGAATTGGAATTGCATGATCCCCTCAAGAATATACTGTACTTCTGGTGGGGGTACAGGCTATGATATTCAATCATCTCAGTGACATTCTTGTTATCTTAGTTCTGAGGACACAGACAGTCTCAAATGCGCAGTCAGCTGGAATTTGGGGTGTAGACGTTCTAAATTTGGACAGGAGTCCAGCCGTTTCCTGACTCTGGGTGTCTCCCTGCTCAGAATTCAAGGAAAACCCCAGAAAGGGACATGTTTATAGTTCAGTAGGTCTGGGGTGCATTGTTTGGGATACAATGCCTGGTCTGACTGGAGCCAGCCGACCAGCCAACCCCTCAGATCAAACGACAGGCCAGGGACCAGGATGGGCTGCCCACTGTTGGCCACAGGCCAGTCTACAGGGACATGTCTGGGCACGTGCACTGTAATCACTCTCATTTGGGCTACAGACGTGCAGACTGGGTCTGGGTCATTGAGTGGTGATGATGATGTGAGGAGAGGTATTAATTGAGTGTGTCCTCAACAAAAACTGCCTACAAGTTAGTCATACAGTGTGAGATCTCTGAAAAACCTATGTATGAAGGTCATTGCTGTAACTTTGTGTATTTCAAAGATGAATGTCAACATTCTCTAAACATTCCCATCTCAGTTACATGGTTTAATATATCCAAAGCATTACACAAAAATAGAGCACCAAGTTTGTTGTTGAGTCCTACCACCATAAACATGTCACATCCTCCCTCTAGTTCTAGTCAAATCACATTTTATTTGTCACATGCGCCAATAGAACAGGTGTAGACCTTACAGTGAAATGCCATTTGATTAGCTGTTCAGGAGTCTTATGGCTTGGGGGTAGAAGCTGTTAAGAAGCCTTTTGGACCTAGACTTGGCGCTCCGGTACCGCTTGCCGTGCGGTAGCAGAGAGAACAGTCTATGACTAGGGTGGCTGGCCTTTGACAATTTTTAGGGCCTTCCTCTGACACTACCTGGTATAGAGGTCCTGGATGGCAAGAAGCTTGGCCCCAGTGATGTAATGGGCATTGCGGTCGGAGGCCGAGCAGTTGCCATACCGGGCAGTGATGCAACGAGTCAGGATGCTCTCGATGGTGCAGCTGTAGAACTTTATGAGGATCTGAGGACCCATGCAAAATCTTTTCAGTTTCCTGACGGGGAATAGGCTTTGTTGTGCCCTCTTCATGACTATCTTGGTGTGTTTGGAACATGATAGTTTGTTGGTGATGTGGACACCAAGGAACTTGAAGCTCTCAACCTGCTCCACTATAGCCCCGTCGATGAGAACGGGGCGTGCTCGGTCCTGCTTTTCCTGTAGTTCACAATCATCTCCTTTGTCTTGATCACGTTGAGGGAGAGGTTGATATCCTGGCACCACACGGCCAGGTCTCTGACCTCCTCCCTATAGGCTGTCTCATCGTTGTCAGTGATCAGGCCTACCACTGTTGTGTCGTCGGCAAACGTAATGATGGTGTTGGAGTCGTGCCTGGCCATGCAGTCATGGGTGAACAGGGAGTACAGGAGGGGACTGAGCACACACCCCTAAGGGGCCCCTGTGGAGATCAGCGGCAGATGTGTTTACCTACCCTTACCACCTGGGGGAGGCCGTCAGGAAGTCGGTCCAGTCAGAGGGGTGTTTCAGTCCCAGTCCTTAGACGTTAGATAGCTTTGAGGTGCACTATGGTTTGAAACTGACTGAGTCAATGATACACTAATTAGTGTTCCTTGTATCCAGGTGGGAAAGGCATGTGGAGTGCCATATGATATGACAACTTGAATCCGTTTGGCGTATGCAAAATTGAGTTCTACGGTGTTTCTGGGACTATGGGTGATGTGAGCCACGACCATCTTTCAAGCAATTCATGGACTAGGGCAGAAGGGTGAGTCTTTAGGCAGGGTTTGTAATAGCTTAACTTTATTTCATCAGTTAGAACTTTTACCCTACTTTGATGACCATGACACTGACAATACATCTTACTACAAAAATATAACATGATTAAACTGTAAATGACATTATACTATACAACTACACATTCCTTATACTGTGTACAAACTTTCAAGACCCAGTTTCTTTCACTGTAATCAGATTAGTTATATTTCCTCAGCTAGTTATTCTGAGCCATCTGAGGGACATTACAGTAAATCTAATCTAGTATGTCTGAATTATTATGGACTGTCTAGGACAGAAAGGGAGTGGAAGGTTTTAAAGAGGGAAATTGTGTGAGATAAGCATTATCTTGTATTATTGTTTCAGTGGCAGATTAGATCTATTTGTCAACCTCTCTGATACTAGTGTTACAAGGCCAACATGTCCAAGGCTCAAGTCCGGAGTCAGACTCAGTGACTTCAGGAAAATGTTAGAGACTTGAGAAGAGAGGGATACTGGAGTGCTTTTACAGTTTCCTTTTCATGGTGTTTATTCAGAGAGTTGTAACCTGTAAAACACTTTTTATATATATAATAGAATAAAATAGAATAGAATATTGGTATTTTATAGTAAATTTGCGGAATGCAGTAGCTTTTATTTACTGTGGTCAACTGACTGGATTTACACAGTTTGTATTTGACCCTGCTCAAGATTCAGCTCAGAGAAAAGGTCTGTATAGAGGTTGTTTTACTCATCAACAGTCTTTGGCAAATGCAGAAGGCTGGAACACCATGGTGTAACTCACAGCATTAGAAACAAGTACTAAATCAAGACCCATTGTATAATGCAGGGACTAATGATTGACTGTATTCATTTGGATTTAGCCGTTTCAACCTCCCCATACCTCTACTACACAACAAAGAATGGAGTGATTCACTTCACCTACCAAAGGGCATGCGCTTAGACAACCACTGTGACGCCAGTTATTCAATGAAGAATTTAGTTTTCCACTAAGTTCACTAGTCTTGTGATGTTGTACTTTGTTGCAGTGTAACATAACACTATCTAAGAACTGTGAGGAATACCTTAATTTGTCCTCAAATGTAACTATTATATTTTTGTTGGAGGTATAGTGATTTGTAAAGGCAAATAGGCTATATAATGGATACCAATTAACCCTCCTAACAGATAGGTTTCCCTTTTATAGGAACAATAACATACATTGTTTATTGATTCTTTTGAAGTTCCACTATGATTTATTATCACAATCCATAGAGTCCTCTGATAAAAGAACATGGAGCTTTCATTGTGTGTAAAATATGTGGTGTAACAGTAATTGTGTTCAAATCAATTGGCTGTTGGTCATACTAAATAACTCTGTGTATATAATCTAGGCTTCAGTCAGGCGATATTTTGATGTAATCTGGCCCCTGTTTGCAAATGAGAATTCCAGTTGCACAATGCACGCCACTGCAGTGTTTTCACTCACTGTGGGCGGTACACACTTCGACCGCAAGTGTGCTCAGTGTCCCGGGCTATTATGATCACAACAATGGAAATCAAACATTATGTTTTTCTGGAAGCCACTTTAGATGCTATGTGTGATTATGATTAGACTCAATACATACCCTCATCTACAGTCTTGGAGAACAGACACAAAGCTCGGAACTGATTATTTTGTGTTGTGGTCCATAGGATAAACTTTCGCTCTCAAGTCTTGACAATTGGCCAAGCAACATTTGTGTTTGAGCAAAACAAACAGAACCATTGTGTATTTTTCCCCTTACCAATACCCATAGCTCATCTGACATTACACTCATCTCTAACCACCGTCTATCTAAGATAAACAGGCCACGTGTGGGTTTGGACTTTGCACATAAGCTATGTACCGGTGGCTATTCATAGGAGCTAGGTTCATGTCCTAAGCTTAATTTATATCATATTTGGTCCTTTGCACCTAAATTCTCAAATACAAAGTGATCAGGGCCAATTGAGAATCATATGGAACCAATAATATTAGTCTCATAATTGTTCTCAGCTATAAAGAAATTATGTTAATTGTTACAGTTTGAATTTCAATGTAATGTTTTGATTTGTAATGCATAAACAGACACAGTTATTCTCTATTCTATACGAAAACTTCTCCATATATTTCATTTCAATGTTCATTGTTCTCCCCTGGATGCCTCCAATGTTGACCAAAGGAACACCTACTGTGGACACTGGTTGCTGAAAATGGACATTGACCACAAAACAAGACAGCTGATATGTATTCCTGTAAGACAGTGTGTATGAAAATAAGAAAGGGTACAATAACAGTAGCCTGTTTTTATATATTCTAAATACAATATAAAAAACAGTTCCCAGAATATACAATTTCATGAAGTGCTCTTGTCATTCTCACATGCACATAGCCTATCAACTGATAAACACCACTAGTGAAACCCTGTATGTGAGGTATGCTGGTGGTGTGTCGAAGCCTTACAAGCCATGACTAACTTCTAAAGGTGATCATACCCCATACCACAATGTAAACACATACAATCTCAGTATGCAGAGAGCAGCATAGGTTTGTGGCTGCAGGAGACACGTTTTAGGATTGCCAGGTTGGCTGTTCAGACAGATCCCTGATGATTACACTAACTATTTACTCTTTTAATCCATTGTCTGTAAAATACATCACAACAAAATGTAACATTACCTACATAACCAACTTATCATTGATACAACAGTCAACAGGTGGATAAATTAAAAACCTGTCAAATGAATCAATTTGCAGGTACCCAGTCCCCCTGTCTGAAATTACATTAATTGAGTTTTACCAATTTGGAATAGACCTTCTTCTCCACCAATAGGCAAGAAGGGTGGCATGCAAATTAATCTGTGGGAAATGTACTCCTTTGCGTCTTCAGAGGAAAGCAAAACTCCACAAACTCTCCGCAGACAAGGCAACGTGAACGTCGGGTACGTGGAAATCAAGAGGCTAAAGTTGTAAAAAAACTAAAACACATGCAACCTATTTTCACGCGGTTGAACTTGAACTTGTGTTGCCAGAATACAAGAGAGGAGTACCAGTGACAATTTGTGGAAAACATTTTAAACTTATCCCGGTGCCATGGGAAAAGGCATGAAGACGTAAACAAGGTAACAATACTATCTGATTGAGACATTACATTCTCAGAACCGTAGAAGGCTATCCGGGCAATAATGGAATATAATATAAAATAATATATAATTTTAAAGGGGCAATCTGCGTTTCAAACAATAACAACCCACCTATCCCGCCACAGTTTGTGTAAATAGCAGAGGAATGGGGCTGGAGAAATCAAATTCATAGACAGAGCTATGGATGAAATGGATTGACCATATAAAAAATGGCTTTTGAGGCTATACAGTGTTTGTTTATAGTTACATTGTTTACAAACAATGGAGTAAAACAAGCTTATATTTTGGGTTCTGATAGGGAACGGCAGTTGAACTAAGCTCAGAAGGCATTTTTAAGTTATATTCTTCAAGAATCGATGGGTAGAGATCGTTCATTGAAAATAAAAAACTGCTTATCCTTTAATAATACAAATTATAAATAATAGGAGTTTGATAAAACAGAATTCTCATCATATAAATAGCATAGGTATAATTGTATATAATATTATCACAACAACTAGATATCACACATGAGGAAAATAAAATAATGCTTAGAAATAAAATACAAGCCAACCAACCCACCGATCACTCGCATTTGCCTTGACAGCTCGAAAACCCGGCCCATCTGACGTCATTTTCCGCTCCCGTTTCTTTCTCTCGACTTCGGCGGTTTTGTTCGCTGCGTAGCTACGAAAGGGTTCAATTTAGCTTCAACTGTCGATCTGCACCTCGGCTTTGATGGCATTTTTTCTTTCCTATAGTACCCCCGCCACTCTTTGAAAATTCCACCTAAAAGGAAAAAACGATCCACCCCAAATATTGGGTTTTATTCTCACGTAAGTACCTATTAGCTATCTAGCTTGCTAACTGGCTAGGTAAGTGGCTAACGTTAACTGATCAAGGAGGGAAAGTAGCTAGTGTTAGCCGCAGTTAGCTAGTTAGGCAACGAACGAACTAGCTAACGACTGACTGTCATTATAGTCGTCATTCATCAAATGTATTTAGCTAGCTACTTTAGTTTACTAGAGATTACCATAGCTAGCTTGCCAACTGTGCTATCTAGATAATTAACACATTAGCTACTATTACTTTGAAAACGTTATCATGGTGTTTATAGCTAACTAGCTAATCCTTAGACGCCATATATGACTGTTAGCACTCGGAGTCTAATTTACAGCCATTTCTCACACAGGGTTAACTAATGTTAGCCTGCTGAGTTGGCGTGTAATGTAAGTTAACGTTAGCTGGCTAGCTAGCAATGGACGGTTTGTTTTGACATTTCAGTGTTTTGTTATTTTGAAAACACAGCAGTGGTACAATCAATACCTATTTAGTTGAGGTTGGAACTTAGTTAACAACATTTGAACATATTAGACAAGGTACAACGTGGCACTTGAATTCATTGTCATTGTAGAATTTAGAAATAATGATTTGAGATCATGAAAACCCTAACAACCTAAAGAGTATTTCACACCTGTTTAGATGTTCTACGCTATGCAAACCACCAGTGCCTAACAATCAATTAACCAATGTCTTGTTTTACCATTCAATATTTAATTTGATCTAATATAATCCTCAGAGCCAGTTTAGCCTCTCTTTCCTCTTGACTCAACTGTATCATATTGTGTTCTGTGCAGGTGTACAATTACTACCCAGAGGGCTTAGGGGCGGCTCTCCGCCGAGAGCCGTTCGACTTCAACGCTGAGCCACCTTGGGATCCTAGCTGATAGTGGGGGAGCTCCATCTCCTAACTCGTCCATGTGAGTAGACATCAGGTCACGTAGGAGGAGTACTGATCTCGGTACAGTTTAGCCTTTTAGATCATAATAAATATACAATACTATGGACAGGGGGACCCTGATCCTAGATCAGCACTCCTACTCTAAGACGCTTTGTGAATACAGGCTCAGGTCACGCTGACACCATAATAACCCAAATGTCCTTGTGGTGACTGTTGTAATAACAATTGCATAGTGTTGGGCTACTTTTATCTGATGCTCTCTGTCCCTGTTGTTACTGGTGACTGGTTATATCCAGCAACAGAGAGGAGGGGCCACTCAGCCATTAGTCATAGTTGTAAAACAATGCTTCCCGTCTTCACCTATAACCTAAATATTATGATTTCTTTGTGCATGTCATGTGGTAAGCCTACTGTTAGATTTGTGATACGTTTGTATTTCCTCCCAAGTCTTTGCCCCAATGAAGTTGGTGGTCTGTAGAGTTAAGCAGTTTTCCAAGTTGCACAAACGTTATTGTCCATTAACCAAAAAGAGACCATCATTTGTGACCTTTGATCTTTTGTCTTGGTTGTAGTGGGTTGTTGTCAGGGTTTTCACAGACTGCTGAGATGTTGTTTTAGTCATGCCACGGCAGGCCGGTGTCTTGGAGCCGTTCCAGCTTGCTATCATGAAGCTGTCTCTGTTTTTGAACTGCCAATACGAGGCTCCCAGCCACAGAACAGAGACAGGGAGACACACAGCACCCTCATGATCACAATAGTCCAACCCGGCTCAGCGACACTGCACCCCTCTGTTCACAGACAGTGGTCTGGTCCAGCCGTCAGACATTGCAGTCTGTGAGGCCAATCAACCAGACATTGTGTCTCTGCACTGCACCTCAAACACCGAGTGCACATCTGGCCCAGACCCAGGCTCACAATGCTCTACTGACTGACGCATTATGTAACATCATCGAAAGCAGAGATCTGTCATCCCATGCTGCTGGTATAATGCCATCAAAAGAAACCTTTATGGGTCACTGCCAGTGGGATTAATGCTAATTGTCGGGAGTAATTGAATGGTAAAAGTAAACGAACTCCATGCCCCAGAGCTCTTGTTTTCACAGTGGCTGTCCAGACACCCAGGGCTCCCCCATACGCAACCCCCCCGTAACGTGATTTCCACCTCGACCTCTGAATGGCTGCCCTCACAAATAGCTTGGTTCACAGCGGGAAACCATCCTAAAGGCTTAACTGGTCCAACTAAGTGTAACATGTAGAGAAAACTGCCTTTGCCCTTTTCTGTAAAATAATTCCCTATTTCTTTCCCACCATTTTTGTAATGATTAAATGGATCTCATTTTCCCCATCCACTTCAATAGTTATATTTCATGCTGCCTCTCTTCCTGTGTTTTCCAGTTTGCTGCATACTATCTATGACCCCAAGGGCTCAGAGAGAGACCACTTTACCCAGGGGCTCAGAGAGAGACCACTTTACCCAGGGGCTCAGAGAGAGACCACTTTACCCAGGGGCTCAGAGAGAGACCACTTTACCCAGGGGCTCAGAGAGAGACCACTTTACCCAGGGGCTCAGAGCGAGACCACTTTACCCAGGGGCACAGAGAGAGACCACTTTACCCAGGGGCTCAGAGAGAGACCACTTTACCCAGGGGCTCAGAGAGAGACCACTTTACCCAGGGGCTCAGAGAGAGACCACTTTACCCAGGGGCTCGGAGAGAGACCACTTTACCCAGGGGCTCGGAGAGAGACCACTTTACCCAGGGGCTCGGAGAGAGACCACTTTACCCAGGGGCTCGGAGAGAGACCACTTTACCCAGGGGCTCGGAGAGAGACCACTTTACCCAGGGGCTCGGAGAGAGACCACTTTACCCAGGGGCTCGGAGAGAGACCACTTTACCCAGGGGCTCGGAGAGAGACCACTTCACCCAGGGGCTCAGAGAGAGACCACTTCACCCAGGCAAAATTCTTTATGATTAGCAGACAACAGTTGAGATGAAGGGACTAGCTGACGAACCAAACTACTCCGTCGCCCTGCTGGAGGGAACCACGGCCCTCAGCGACGTGGTTGAGAATCACATTTATGAACAAACATTGGTAAGTACTGTAAAGAGACATTCTCTGTACATTAAAATACTTGCACGTTTTGAAGTCTTGCTACTTTATAGCGTATCAAAGTTGTGCCCATGGAAATGACAGAAATAGATTGATAAATTCAAGCAATCACCACTTAAATATATTGATTCAGGATGTGACAAATACAATGCTGCTGTGTAAAACTGTGTGCCAGTCTCCTCCTACTTGGTTGAAGTGGCAGGTTAATGAGTCATTGTGCCTGCTGACCACGCTCTATATGCTTTCAATTCACACCAGTGGAAAAATGAGGTTGCGGATTGCTCTTATTTAATTGTATGGTGTTTGATGAGCGACAGTAAGAATAATCAGTCATTGTGTACTTGACATATACAGGTGAATGACATTATAGCATCCCAGACAGCCAGTAAACCTGATGTCATGTTTTTCTTCCTCTCTCAGGCTGAGAAGAATGCGTTCTTCGTGGCAGACTTGGGGGTCCTTATGAGGCAACATGTTCGCTGGCGAACCCACATGCCCCAGATGCGTCCCTTCTACGCTGTCCAAGCCAACAGTAGCCTGGCTGTCATTGAGATCCTAGCTGCTCTCGGCACTGGCTTCATCTGCACCAACAAGGTGCCTGCAGTGCTCTCTCCCACTACTACTGTCATAGCACTGCAATAGCATCACAGACAACCTGTCCAGATCAAATCACATTTTAGTGTAGGCTAACTTACGGGTCCTTTTCCACAGCTTTAGGATGTGTTTTTCAGTTAAATACATTTTTATAGATGCATCTCGTAACTTCCAATGGCTTACATCAGTTGCAGCTTCTCACAGCTCTGTTCAGGATCAATTTGTTGGGCCAATTACTGCTTTATAACTGCTTCATAAGTCAACTGGCCTCTACTCACAGAAAATAGGAAGGAGCACCATCTAGTGGAGAAATTTCTCGCTGCCACAGTGCATTGCTCCTTCACAACTTAGAGCTGTAATACCAATGTTGTTGTTTTTGTGTCTTTTCAGTATGAGTTGGAGCTTGTGCAGGGCAGTGGCGTTCTCTCTGAAGACATTATTTACAGTGGTGTGTGTAAGCAGCTCTCCCAGATCAAGTACGCAGCTAAAACGGCATCGACTTCCTGGTGTGTGACAACGAGGCCGAGCTACGCAAGATCGCTCGGTGCCATCCCCGTGCCAAGTAGGTGTCCATGTAAACTGTTATTACAACTGTTAAACTGTTTTTAAAAGTCCATATTTCATACTCTACAATACAACTACAATGGCTATAGATATGAAATACCTAAAAACAATAATCTCTCGCCGTCTCTGCTCAGACTGCTGCTGCAAGTGGCCACAGAGGCTTCCAGCGAGGGTGAGGAGATGGGCATGACGTTTGGCTCCAAGCTGAAGGACTGCAGACACCTGCTGGAGAGTGCCAAGGAGCTAGGCCTGCAGGTGGTGGGGGTCAGGTGAGTCCTTCTGCAACACCACCCTTCCTCTCTAGTCATCGTTCATTATTATATTCTAGGTTTTTCTCTCTTATTGTCTTTTAATTATGGGCTAATTAATTAAACTGTGCCTGTCTGTCCAATACTATTTTCACCCTGAGAAGAAAATAGTTTATTGTATCATCAGAGATTGACCATCGGACAATTCAGCAGTATTTTTTGTTTGCCTGAAGAATATAGCCACTTGCCCGAAAATGTGAAAATAGTTGTTTACACCCAAATTGCCGTAACTTGTCGGTCACTTAACAACAGGGAGGTTTGCGCTGCTCGAGCTTAAAACTTTGTTCTGGTTCAAGATTTCAACGCGCAGCTCACACCCGAGATCAATAGGAAATAGTGGCTAGCGCTCTGCTCGCGCTGACCAAAAGTTAAGCTTCCAGTTTAGCAGGTTAAAAAAAGCGCCAGTGTAGCCCCTGTTTGGCTACTTGAATTCAGTTTTAAAAAATCGCCTGCCTAATGAAGCTGCCCAGCTGCCATAAATTGGCCGTCTTTCACTTAAACAATGGGGATGAACCAGACAGATCCGTTTTAGGTTAGGCCTAATGGAATTTTTAGCAGTTTTGTTTTCATTCTTTTCTTTATCACTTTGGGCAACCTCAGAGCAGGCTCAACTTGCCTGACTGCTCAGTTTACGTTCCTCAGTCAATCTCTGATCATATTGTATTCTCATTACGTCATCATTATCCCCATGATGCAGGTTCCACATTCCCAGCTCCTGTGACGACCCTCAGGCCTACAATCATGCAGTGTCTGACGCTCGCTGTGTCTTTGACATGGGGGTGAGTTAGCTAGTGCTTACATTATGGGACTTTGAATGTGCATAATATGTGAAGGAACCTCCTGTTATATTTTGTTTTGAAGTTTACAAGTCTTTTTCTTTAATGTTGTTTTCAGGAGGATATTGGCTTCAGTATGACAATCCTGGATATTGGAGGTGGATTCAGCGGCTCAGAGACTCAGCTGAAACAGGTCATTATTGTATAATAGTTAGCTCGTTACATAATGCTGATTTAGATGATTACTTCAGCTGTATTAATACGTGATTCAGTCAGTCAATGGTCACAAGCCACTTCACCCTCTTCCTGACGTCAGGCCTGTACTAGTAATGTATTTTTCCAAAGGAAAGCCTTCACACAGCTTTCCTTTGAATTTGAGCAAACACACACACACTCTCTCTCTCTCTCTATTGAATGCCTGTTAGGCTGAAGGTGCAGTTTTTTTCCTCTGGTAACAGATTAACAGTGCAGTCAGGCCGTTGTTGGACCTGTACTTCCCTGCATCGTCTGGCGTCTCCATCATGGCAGAGCCTGGCAGTTACTACGTGTCCTCCTCCTTCACCCTGGCTGTCAACATCATCGCTAAGGAAGTAGGCGCCCGGGATCTTCATGGCAATCACGGTCAGTGGCAGTACCTTCTCAATACCTAGCATATGAAGTCAAATGCACTTCCATTGTGTGGTGGGCTGGTCAAAATCAGTGCTATAGTAAATGTGGTTCAGCAGACCTAGATGCTCCAGCAGACCAGCACATACCTGTACTACTATTGTGTCTTATGACTGTTGTTTGCCATACCTCTTTACAGATGAACCATCTCCCAACGATGAGCCAGAGTTCCTGTACTACATGAACGATGGGGTGTACGGCTCTTTCACTAGCAAGCTAGCAGACAATGTGATTCCAGCCCCGGCTCTGCCTAAGGTGAGTTTTTTGGCTTCAGGGCTTAGTAAACTAAATCTCAAACAAAATGACTAATGAAATGACAACGATTCTGCATTTCATGATTTTGCATCACCAAGCAAAGATTCAGTTCAATTCAATTTCCCGTCTCAAATACCCTGTAGTGAATTTTAGGCTACATCCCAAATCAAAACCCTATTACCTATTTAGTCATTTTAACCATGGCCCATACGTCTCTCTAAATGACTCTCTGTGTCCCTGGATGTTCCAGAGCGGTGGGTCCGAGGAACCGGTGTTTGCCAGCAGTCTGTGGGGTCCGTCGGGTGATGAGCTGGACCAGGTGGTGGATCAGTGTCTGCTGCCAGAGCTCAGTGTGGGAGACTGGCTGATCTTCAACAACGCTGGGGCTTATAGCCTGGGCCCTCCGTCCACTTTCACAAATTCACCCAGACCCCCCGTCTACTACACCATCTCTACTGGAGACTGGTAAGAGACAGACGAATATCAGGGTCAGGCTGGCACTGTCACTGTTTGAAATGGGAAGCTGTTGAGTATTTGATTTGATTTATTGGTTGAGGTGAGTTTCCCCCATTTTAATGTATGTAAAGTTCTTACACCATCTGGAAAAGTGTCCATTTATTTATTTGGGACCTACTGATATTTATTTTAACAGTTGTATGCTGCCATTGACTTTGTTTTTTCTATATTGTTTTGGTAGTCTTTTGAAGTGAAGAGAATGCTTTTCAACAAGTTTTGTTTGTTGTTGTTAACAGGTTTGAGATGCAGGATGCTGGTATCACACAGGACATCAGCATGAAGAACTTCTCTCTGGTCCCCTGCTTCCTCCACTCCGGCCAATCAGACGAAGCCCTGTCTGTCCCAGCTTAGGCCAGTTGAACCAACCCCATGTCTCTGCTGTGCTGACCTCACCCTGGTCATCATTCCAATGGGAGGAAAAGACTGAATGGTGCTTGCTGGCTGAAAGCTTTTTATTATTCATTTCATACGGAATTGAGCTTTTTTGGGGGGGGGGGGGGTCGGCGGTCGGCAGACTGAATTGTTGATGACAAGCCCTATACAGTATGTTGTTGGCTCTCTCAAGGAATAGCACAGGTGTTCTTTCCTTTCCACATTCAGTAAAATAGTATGCAACAAAATGGATGAGTCTGTAGGGATGGAACTCCCACCTGTGTGGGTATCCCATGCGGTTACAGTTTACAAATAGTAAATACATCAAATGGAATTTAAAAGTTAATATTTGAAACATGTATTATATTGCCTATATGTCTCCTTTTGCCAGTCTTGTAAATTCAATTGTCTACCTACTCAAAGTGGAAGCAGTTGTTTATTTTAACAAAACCTGATGTTTTAAAGCCATTTTTGGATGCTTCGCTAAAAACATATTTATGTATATTTATGGTTTTATTGGTTGTGTCGTTTTTTTTTGGTGCTATGAATATCTGATCCCCTGACATTTATGATCAGTCAGTATTTAAAAGGGGGCATACTGTAACTAAATGCATCCCTAATGACACCCTATTCCATATTTAGTGCACTACTTTTGACCAGAGCACTATCTAGGGAATCGTGTCATTTGGGATGCATATAACAGTACAGTGCCTCAGCTCAGATGAAGGGGAACTCCATTTGACTCAAGCAATATGAGTACAGAATGTCATTCACCAAGCATCTCGTTGATAGGGAGCTTGCACTCACACTCTAAATATAGACCATCTTGAGACAATTATCATAATGCAACATTGATGTTTCATTTGTTTTTTTAAATCCCTGTTCCTTCCTTACAAGTCTCTGTGGAAAGAATTGTGCAACATCTGTGAATTGGTCTCCAGTTTTGCCTAAAGTAAATTAATATAAAAGCTCTCGTTGACTGAATCATAATGTGTATGTGTTGTTCTTGCTGGTAAAATTTGAATTTTCACCCACTGCTTAGTAACAGCACTGTTATACCGGTAACATGAGTCACTATACCCGAACATACTCAGTGGCCAGTTTATTGGGTACACCCATCTAGTACCGGGTCGGACCCCCCTTTGCCTCCAGAACAGCCTGAACAGGGAAACATTGCTCAATTGGTATCAAGAGACCTAACGTGTACCAGGAAAACATTCCCCACACCATTCTGCCACCAGCCTGTACCGTTGACACCAGGCAGGATGGGGCCATGGACCCGTGCTGCTTACGATAACTCTTGACTCTGCCATCAGCATGACGGAACCGGGATTCGTCAGACCAGGTAAAGTTTTTCCACTCCTCAATTGTCCAGTGTTGGTGATCGCATGCCCAGTGGAGCCGCTTCTTCTTGTTTTTAGCTGATAGGAGTGGAACCTGGTGTGGGTGTCCTGCTGCAATAGCCCATTCATGACAAGGACCGACGAGTTTTGCGTTCTGAGATGCTGTTCTGCACACCACTGTTGTACGCCGTTATTTGCCTGTTTGTGGCCCGCCTGTTAGCTTGCATGATTCTTGCCATTCTCCTTAGACCTCATCAATGAGCAGTTTTCGTCCACAGGACTGCCGCTGACTGAATGTATTTTGTTTGTCGCACCATTCTCGGTAAACCCTAGACACTGTCGTGTGTGAAAAGCCCAAAAGGCCGGCTGTTTCTGAGATACAGGAACCGGCGCGCCTGGCACCGACGATCATACCACGCTTAAAGTTGCTTAGGTCACTCATTTTGCCCATTCTAACGTTCAATTGAACAGTAACTGGATGCCTGTCTGCCTGCTTTATATAGCAGGCCCACATGAATCGGTCTCTGTAGGAGTGAACCATTTTCGGAAATGTGGTGGTGTACCTAAAAAACTGGCCAACCGAGTGTATATTCCACTAGAACAGGGTGTGTTGTCTATTTTCGACCAAGGATAACAATGTTTAGTAAATGGTTGTATGTTTACACTACACAGAAAGTGAATGCCTCTCAATGGAAGGAAACTCCGGTGACCTCTCATCTACTATTCAGTCACAACACAGCCTTGAACTGACACAGATACGTGCCCAGACAGGGGTATACTACAAAGCAGGATCGATGAGCTTTGGGCCGCTAACTTTAATAAACAACCAGAAATAACAGTTGATTTTCTGGTTCATTAAGAAAGCTAAATATACATACACTATATAGTATGTGGACACCCCTTCAAATTAGTGGATTTGGCTATTTCAGCCACACCCGTTGCTGACAGGTGTATAAAATCGAGCACACTGTCATGCCATCTCCATAGACAAACATTGGCAGTAGAATGGCCTTACTGAAGAGCTCAGTGACTTACAATGTAGCACAGTCATAGGATGCCACCTTTCCAACAAGTCAGTTCGTCAAATTTCTGCCCTGCTAGAACTGCCCCGGTCAACTCTAAGTGCTGTTATTGTGAAGTAGAAATGTCTAGGAGCAACAACGGCTCAGTAGCGAAGTTGTAGGCCACACAAGCTCACAGAACAGGACCGCTGAAGCGCACAGCGCGTAAAAAAAATCATCTGTCCTCGGTTGCAACACTCCCTACCGAGTTCCAAACTGCCTCTGGAAGCAACGTCAGCACAAGAACTGTTCGTCGGGAGATTCATGAAATGGGTTTCCATGGCCGAGCAGCCGCACACAAGCCTAAGACCACCATGTGCAATGCCGAGCGTCGGCTGGAGTGGTGTAAAGCTCGCCGCCATTGGACTCGAGCAGTAGAAACGCGTTCTCTGGAGTGATGAATCAAGCTTCACCATCTGGCAGTATGATGGAAGAATCTAGGTTTGGCGGCTGCCCCAATGCATAGTGCCAACTGTAAAGTTTGGTGGAGGAGAAATAATGGTCTGGGGCTGTTTTTCATGGTTCGGGCTAGGCCCCTTAGTTCCAGTGAAGGGAAATCTTAACGCTACAGCATACAATGACATTCTAGACGATTCTGTGCTTCCAACTTTGTGGCAACAGTTTGGGGAAGGCCCTTTCCTGTTTCAGCATGACAATGCCCACGTGCACAAAGCGAGGTCCATACAGAAATGGTTTGTCGAGATCGTTGTGGAAGAACTTGACTGGCCTGCACAGAGCCCCAACTTCAACCTCATCGAACACCTTTGGGATGATTTGGAACGCTGACTGCGAGCCAGGCCTAATCGCCCAACCTCACTAATGCTTGTGGCTGAATGAAAGCAAGTCCCCGCAGCAATGTTCCAACATCTAGTGCAGTGGTATTCAACTCTTACCCTACTGGTTTTGTTTTACCTAATAATTAATTGCACACACCTGGTGTCCCAGGTCTAAATCAGTCCCTAATTAGAGGGGAACAATGGAGAAAAAAAAAGCTGTGGAAGTGGCTTCGAGGTCCAGAGTTGAATTTGAGGGATCTATATAATAATAATATAATATAATATGCCATTTAGCAGACGCTTTTATCCAAAGCGACTTACAGTCGTGCGTGCATACATTTTTTGTGTATGGGTGGTCCCGGGGATCGAACCCACTACCTTGGCGTTACAAGCGCCGTGCTCTACCAGCTGAGCTACAGAGGACCACAACCAATAATTGGAAAGCCTTCCCAGAAGAGTGGAGGCTGTTATAGCAGCAAAGGGGGGACCAACTCCATATTAATGCCCATGATTTTGGAATGAGATGTGACAAGCAGGTGTCCACATTATTTTGGTCATGTAGTGTATGTGTTATTGGTTGTTGAGCCAATTAGACCATGCCCATTTCAAGTTTATTTTTCTAAAAACTAAAAAAAAGGCAAGTTAGCTGGCTAATTCCTTTATCTTGCTTTGTAGTATACCCCTCAGTTCAGTAACGCAACACATACCCTCTCACAATTCAACACAAATACAACAAACTAGTGAAGTTTTACACCTTTTATTTCACCTGTAACAAAATAATAAACATGTTTAATTTAGTCAAGTTAAATATACAAACTTTTCTCTTAACATTCTTTTTTTGGCCAAACATAATTCTCATGAATATTAAATATAGTGGATTGAGCACATTCAGTAGGTAGAAAAACAATTAATGCACAAGATCTAATAGTCAAGCATAGTTTTGCAATCCATAACAATGGTAATTTACTTATTTGATAGGCTCAGAGATTCTGAAAAAGAGTCTATTTATGGCTCTAGTTGTTTACAGATTTGACTTCTACATTTCTGTGCCCTGCTCCACACTTTGGAGGTTGCCACAGAAAGAGCTGACAGTTGCCACCACCACAACCACATGAAAAGAGGTTTATCTTGTCTTGTCAGTAGTTCAAAGCACAGTTGTAAACAATAATATTTTCATAATCTTCAACAAGTAAGAGTTCATCAAACTCAATGTAAAGGAGTAAAACCCTGCTATCATTCATCACACATTGAAACGCTAATAACAACATAATCTCTCAAGTGGACCTGAATGAAATATGAAATTGTAAGTCAAGAAACTGTAAACACGTCTAACAATTCTATAGTTCTATAAGAATTCAACATGTAATTAATTGCATTGATGTGCATTGAAGTCTTCAGTGAGCAGTATCACAGTGAATGAGTTCCTTCCTATTTAATGAAGAACCAGCTTATTCTACAGTGTCTTTAAGGCAACAGTTTGTTCAGGGCAGAGAACGAAGGAACGGTGCCAAAAACACTGCATGTGTAACATCACCGCTGTGACGGACTCCCACCTGCTTGGTGGCTAGGTGTCGACGGGCGTGCTTGGCCAGGTGGTCACTACGCATGAAGCGGCTGTGGCACATGGGGCAGGCGAAGCGCTTCTCTCCCGTGTGGGTTCTACGGTGGCGTGATAGCTCGTCGGACCGGGCGAAGCGTCTCTCACAGCCTTCCCACCTACACTTGAAAGGTTTCTCACCTGAACAGAACACATAGAGGAAAGACTAGTGTTACACAAAAACACACAGTCAGCCATACAGGCCAAGAGGGGGGATTACCTGACCTTGTTATTACGCCATGTAAGGAGGTCTTTGAACATTGTGGCTTTTGTGCAATTACAGCACCATTAAAGTAGCAAGAGGAGGCCAAAGAAAATAACACTAACTTTACAAAAACCTGAGATAACCTCTGTTGTTATTTCTACAATATGTAATGCTTGTGTTACTTGTAAAGAAAAAGGCAACTACCTGAACTTGTAACATTTAAACCTGACTCCCCACCAGCCCTGTCTTACCTGTGTGAGTCCTCATGTGGGCCTTGAGGTGGGAGCTCTTAAAGTAGGTCTTGCCACAGTCCTCGTGGGGGCAGATATGGCTGCGGACTCTGGACACCTCAGCGGGCTGCGGGCTGCTCCGCTGGACCACTGAGGTGAAGCCTGGCGCTGGGGCGATGGCTGGCAGCTTGGTGCCACCAGGGGTCAGCACTGACGGCTGGATCGGGACAACTGGCCGGGGAACCAAGAAGATGATAGGGCCCTTTGTCACCTGGTCACCCATGAAGAAGACTGAAGGAGGATCAACTGCTACTGACTGTTGTTGGTGACTGGTGGTGGTGACCATTGGAATATGACTGTTCGCTGCAGTAGGCACAGCAGGTAGTATCTGGCAGTAAACCGGAACAGGAGAAGGAGAAACCCCACAGTTGACAGGGGACACCGATGTAGGCTGGTGGAATTTACCAACAGAGGCTGGCAGAGTCACAGTTACCGGAGCCTGGGTGGCAGCCGGTGCAGCATAGGAGTCAAGGGGTGTCATGTTCCCTTTGGAGTCCCTGTCAGATAGCCTATCTGCCAGGGGGTTGTTGGTGCTGTCTGGGCTTGGCTGGGGCTGATGGGGCCGGGGTTGGGGTAGTCTGTGCTGCAGGGGGGCGGCTGGACAGATGCTCCAGCTGCAGTGCTGTGCATCTGCAGTGTGACGGATCACACTGGTGGCCTGTGATCGGGGCTGGCTGACTGTCTGTGTCAAGCCCTGCTGTTCTGGCCGTGGGTTATGGCTCTGGCACCAGGAGGTCTGTACTGCCACTGGATGCTGCAGCACTGTCTCTGGAGAAGGATGACTGTAAATGGCCTCAGAGTTTGGCGGGCTGTATGGTGGGGTCATACACTGAGACGGAGGGCAAAAAAAAACAAGGAAATGGTTACGAAACGATATAATCTCTACATTGTGAGATTATATTTATTATATTTCACTTAGTATGGAGGATTATCACGGTGAATGTATGTGACAGAACTTGAGAGAACACACACAAGTAACACAGGAAATTTACCAGAGACTCTCGGACCTCAGACGGGTCAAGTGAGAGACGAGAGTCATCCTCTGAGAAGTCAGAGGAAGGGGTCAGAGGTCGGAACTCTCTGTGCTTGAAACTCCTGGAAGTCCTGGCTTTCCTGTGGCTGTTCATGAACATAAGAGCCTCCACCGCCTCCATGTCTCCCATGGCCATAGGGTGACACTGGGACTCTTCCTGGTTCTGACTGCCAGGGTAGTACAGCTCATCAACTTCCATGGTGTCACTCTGTTAACAGATAAAGGAATATCCACTGAGTGTACAAAACATTAAGAGCACCTGCTCTTTCCTTGACATTGACTGACCAGGTGAATCCAAGTGAAAGCTATGATCCCTTATTAATGTCACTTGTTAAATCCACTTCATTCAGTGTAGATGAAGGGGAGGAGACAGGTTAAATAAGGATTTTTAAGCATTGAGACATTTGAGACATGGATTGTGTATGTGTGCCATTCAGAGGGTGAGTGGGGAAGACAAAATATGTCAGTGCCTTTTAATGGGGTATGGTAGAAGGTGCCAGGTGCACCGGTTTGTGTCAAGAAATGCAACGCTGCTGTTTTTTTTACGCTCAACAGTTTCCCATGTGTATCAAGAATGGTCCCCCACCCAATGGACATCCAGCCAACTTGACACAATTGTGGGAAGCATTGGAGGCAACATGGGCCAGCATACCCGATACAGGACTATTAAGGCCTAGTGCACTACTTTTGTGGTAAAATATATATATACAGTGGGGAGAACAAGTATTTGATACACTGCCGATTTTGCAGGTTTTCCTACTTACAAACCATGTAGAGGTCTGTAATTTTTATCATAGGTACACTTCAACTGTGAGAGACGGAATCTAAAACAAAGATCCAGAAAATCACATTGTATGATTTTTAAGTAATTAATTTGCATTTTATTGCATGACATAAGTATTTGATCACCTACCAACCAGTAAGAATTCCGGCTCTCACAGACCTGTTAGTTTTTCTTTAAGAAGCCCTCCTGTTCTCCACTCATTACCTGTATTAACTGCACCTGTTTGAACTCGTTACCTGTATAAAAGACACCTGTCCACACACTCAATCAAACAGACTCCAACCTCTCCACAATGGCCAAGACCAGAGAGCTGTGTAAGGACATCAGGGATACAATTGTAGACCTGCACAAGGCTGGGATGGGCTACAGGACAATAGGCAAGCAGCTTGGTGAGAAGGCAACAACTGTTGGCACAATTATTAGAAAATGGAAGAAGTTCAAGATGACGGTCAATCACCCTCGGTCTGGGGCTCCATGCAAGATCTCACCTCGTGGGGCATCAATGATCATGAGAAAGGTGAGGGATCAGCCCAGAACTACACGGCAGGACCTGGTCAATGACCTGAAGAGAGCTGGGACCACAGTCTCCAACAAAACCATTAGTAACACACTACGTCGTCATGGATTAAAATCCTGCAGTGCACGCAAGGTCCCCCTGCTCAAGCCAGCGCATGTCCAGGCCCGTCTGAAGTTTGCCAATGACCATCTGGATGATCCAGAGGAGGAATGGGAGAAGGTCATGTGGTCTGATGAGACAAAAATATAGCTTTTTGGTCTAAACTCCACTCGCCATGTTTGGAGGAAGAAGTTGGATGAGTACAATCGCAAGAACACCCTCCCAACCGTGAATCATGGAGGTGGAAACATCATTCTCTGGGGATGCTTGTCTGCAAAGGGGACAGGACGACTGCACCGTGTTGAGGGGAGGATGGATGGGGCCATGTATCGCGAGATCTTGGCCAACAACCTCCTTCCCTCAGTAAAAGCATTGAAGATGGGTCGTGGCTGGGTCTTCCAGCATGACAATGACCCGAAACACACAGCCAGGGCAACTAAGGAGTGGCTCCGTAAGAAGCATCTCAAGGTCCTGGAGTGGCCTAGCCAGTCTCCAGACCTGAACCCAATAGAAAATCTTTGGAGGGAGCTGAAAGTCCGTATTGCCCAGCGACAGCCCCGAAACCTGAAGAATCTGGAGAAGGTCTGTATGGAGGAGTGGGCCAAAATCCCTGCTGCAGTGTGTGCAAACCTGGTCAAGACCTACAGGAAACGTATGATCTCTGTATTGCAAACAAAGGTTTCTGTACCAAATATTAAGTTCTGCTTTTCTGATGTATCAAATACTTATGTCATGCAATAAAATGCAAATTAATTACTTAAAAATCATACAATGTGATTTTCTGGATTTTTGTTTTAGATTCCGTCTCTCACAGTTGAAGTGTACCTATGATAAAAATTACAGACCTCTACATGCTTTGTAAGTAGGAAAACCTGCAAAATCGGCAGTGTATCAAATACTTGTTCTCCCCACTGTATATGTTTTATTCCGATTTTCAGCCGGCGCTGCAGCACCCTCAGCACCCCTACTTCCCGCGGCTATGGTTCTGAGGGCAAAAGAGGGGGTGCAATTCAATATTAGAAAGGTGTTCCGAATGTTTGTTATACTCAATGTATCTCATCATAATGTCATGTACTTATTCCCTGTGATTCATAATTATCCTTTCTCTGACTCCGAGGACACATAAGCTCATTGGACATGGGTTGAAATTTTATATTACAAAATATCAAATGCTTAAAGTGAAATATGAAATGATTTTTGTCAATGACTTTTCTGTCCATAAAGAAACAAAAAAAAATGATGATTGGAACAACTGTCATTATTCTTCAGCTGGTTAATAAACACAATGTTCATACTGTATCAGTAGCTTTTCTCTATACACACTTCAGTAAATATTTAGATACCTAACACAATTGATTCTTCTATTGATTTACTTGTCTACCAATACTAACAAAATATGTAAATCAGGGATGGGCAACTGGGCCTTTTGTAGGCTTGCGGATCAATTTCCAAAAAAGGGCCCCGACCCCCAAAAAATTAAAATGACTGCTGAGAGTTAGAATACACAAGACACAATTTCGAAGTTTGGTTGTGCATCAGCAGGTTTTATCTTGATATGTCAGTCACTGACAGTCACTCAATTAGCCATGTCTGCTAACACTTTTTTGAGCAGTAAATGAGTCTAGTCAGCTATCTAAACGTAGTAATCATGGCCGAATACCAACCAGGAACAGAGGGCACGTGCCCAGGGGCCTTAACCTCCAGGAGGCCCCCAATCATTTTGTTTGTCACTCTCACTCAGATATTATATTAACATAGCATTAGTCATGGTAAACTGTGTAGAATTGCAGGAAATTCACTTTAAAACTACTCAAATTTCTCTCCACCCCATGGCAAAATGAGTAGAATTGCATGAAATGTGTTAAGAAAATTTCAACATTTTCTCTGCCCTATGGGAAATATGTAGAATTGCTTTAAAACTGCAATATATTCTCTATAAGCAATGGCAAAATGTATAGAATTGCAGTAAATTAACTTTAAAACTAAAAAATGTCAAGTAAACAAGTAAAATGTTTTGCCAGAATGTTATGCTCGCTTAGGGCCAGCCCCGGCTATTGGTATAACGCATTTACTATAGTTAAGAGGGTTCAGTCATTTAACTGCACAAATGGATTGATTGCACAAATCAGTTGACTGCGTGTGTGGGTATGGATGTCGGTACGCAGACCCGCCAGCCACTCTGCCCGCTCATGATGAGTTCAGAATTTTTGTTGCCCATGTGAACAGTGAGTGATCGGCTAGTGTCTCCCAGCACTTTGACCTTTAACACAGCTACCCCAACACAGCTACCCCGCAGATGCACCGGGCGTGCTGCAAATACAAACGGTCCCACACCCCCTCCCACAGGCTACGCAGAGATGGGACTCAAATCTACTGTCATACAAATTCAACTACATTTCAATATCCACTTCATTAATTATTACTAAACAGATCTCACAAAGTTCTTCTTTTTTTTTTTTTTTTACATTAACCAACATGACCCTAACGTTAGTTGTTTCCTAAATACTTCAGTGAGAATGAGGATTGTAGCTACTTACATTATTGTGGTGCTGGACAAAGGATGACATAATTTTCTCATATTCACTGTGTTAATTAAGTGGTGTGTAACAGTCGGACTTGTGGTAAATGTTACAATATATGTTTCCCTTCTCCTTTTTCTAGTTCCATTCGCCATCATTTCAAATGCGGTGGGTACAGATGGGCCGGTCTCTACTTTCAGCCAATCAGACACAAAGGTGTGTTAGACAGGAACCAATAGGAGAATAATCAACGCGTGATCAGGAGCTGATGTGGTCCGTGGAAACAGCGTGGTACACAACAGCATCAGCGTGTGAAAATACCGCTGCGAGTTGAGTGAGTCACAGAAAACCCCTGACATGACAGTCCAATTTGGAAAGATCTGTTATTTTCCAGACTACTGAACTGCATCTGATTATACTTTTAAGTTTATATTCTATTATATTCTTTTATACACCTGATATTGTTAGTAAAAAAAAAAAAAAACATTCATTTTTTAAGTCAAGAAAACAATTATGTAGGCTATAGACTAAATCCAATATTATATAGCAGACTGGTCTCATAGACTAGACATAATATAGTAAACGTAAGTCGGGGACACTCAAATTGGTATGATATGTTACATTTGGTATGGTTACATAAGACAGAAGGTTACTTAAAGCAAAAACAAAAGGAGGGTGGTTGGGTAGGTGTATAACATGAACATCTAGCAACCCAAAGGTTGTGTGCTCAAAACTCATCATGTTCTAATTTTGCAACTAATTACTAATTTTTAGCTACTTTGCAACTACTTAGCATGTTAGCTAACACTTCCCCAAACCGTAACCCTTTTAGCTAACTCCTAACCTTAACCCCTAACCCCTAGAGCTAACGTTAGCGTTAGCGTTAGTACACACCTAGCTAACGTTAGCCACAACAAATTGGAATTCGTAACATATGTATCATATCTTTTGCAAATTGGTAACATATTGTACGAATTGCAATTCAAAACATATCATACGAATTGTAATTCATAACATATCATACGAAATGGATGATGGACATCCACAAATGTACACATACCATACGAAACGTAAGACATCATACTAAATGGAGTGTCTCGGATTTACAGTTGAAGTCGGAAGTTTACATACACTTAGGTTGGAGTCATTAAAACTCATTTTTCAACTGTGGAAAATTATTCTCTTATATTTTAGATGTGCTGTTAGCTTAATAAGAAAGCATTAATGATTAAACATAATAGGTTTGTACTGTACTGATATAGATTATTTAACCTAACAAGCTGTGATTAATGTGAGGAACTGTTAGGGGGTAGGGTGAGATAAGGCTTGTGACTCACTTACACAAACACAGCCTCTTTGTTAGACCGCTCAAGGACATGTGTACTGCAAAAGTGCTGACTCTCTGGACAAGTTGCAAAACAACTAACACCTGGCAACAGTGAAGCGCCAAGGGGCTGGGACCAGCCTGTGCACCAACGATAGGCTGAGTAAGTCTAAACCACGCTCAGTCTCTACTCTGATAGGCCAGCAGGGAGCGGGAACTATCTCTGTCAGAGTATTTAAAGAAGAACTTATAACAATGGCTCAGTTCTCTGACTGCCCTGAGTGGTGTTTCAGTGGACCCGTATATACGAACATCATATTTACCATTGAAGTGTTTTGCATTAATTAAAATACTAGTCTATTTTAGAAGACGTGTATTGACCTCTTTTTGTTCCTATACCAGATTTGAATTGACGCAACTTAACACAACCACTCCACAAATTTCTTGTTAACAAACTATAGTTTTGGCAAGTCGGTTAGGACATCTACTTTGTGAATGACACAAGTCATTTTTCCAACAATTGTTTACAGACAGATTATTTCACTTATAATTCACTGTATCACAATTCCAGTGGGTCAGAAGTTTACACTAAGTTGACTGTGCTTTTAAACAGCTTGGAAAATTCCAGAAAATGATGTCATGGCTTTAGAAGCTTCTGATAGGCTAATTGACATCATTTGAGTCAATTGGAGGTGTACCTGTGGATGTATTTCAAGGCCTACCTTCAAACTCAGTGCCTCTTTGCTTGACATCATGGGAAAATCAAAAGAAATCAGCCAAGATCACAAAAAAACAATTGTAGACCTCCACAAGTCTGGTTCATCCTTGGGAGCAATTTCCAAACGCCTGAAGATACCACGTTCATCTGTACAAACAATAGTATGCAAGTATAAACACCATGGGACCACGCAGCCGTCATAACGCTCAGGAAGGAGATGCGTTCTGACTCCTAGAGATGAACGTACTTTGGTGCGAAAAGTGCAAATCAATCCCAGAACAACAGCAAAGGACCCTGTGAAGATGCTGGAGGAAACAGGTACAAAAGTATCTATATCCACAGTAAAACGAGTCCTATATCAACATAATCTGAAAGGCCGCTCAGCAAGGAAGAAGCCACTGCTCCAAAACCGCCATAAAAAAGCCAGACTACGGTTTGCAACTGCACCTGGGGACAAAGATCATACTTTTTGGAGAAATGTCCTCTGGTCTGATGAAACAAAAATAGAACTGTTTGGCCATAATGATCATCGTTATGTTTGGAGGAAAAAGGGGAATGCTTGCAAGCCGAAGAACACCATCCCAACTGTGAAGCACAGGGATGGCAGCATCATGCTGTGGGGGTGCTTTGCTGCAGGAGGGACTGGTGCACTTCACAAAATAGATGGCATCATGAGGAAGGAAAATTATGTGGATATATTGAAGCAACATCTCAAGACATCAGTCAGGAAGTTAAAGCTTGGTCGCAAATGGGTCTTCCAAATGGACAATGACCCCAAGCATACTTCCAAAGTTGTGGCAAAATGGCTTAAGGACAACAAAGTCAAGGTATTGGAGTGGCCATCACAAAGCCCTGACCTCAATCCTATAGAACATTTGTGGGCAGAACTGAAAAAGCGTGTGCGAGCAAGGAGGCCTGCAAACCTGACTCAGTTACATCAGCTCTGTCAGGAGGAATGGGCCAAAATGCACCCAACTTATTGTGGGAAGCTTGTGGAAGGCTACCCAAAACGTTTGACTCAAGTTAAACAATTTAAAGGCAATGCTACTAAATACTAATTGAGTGTATGTAAACTTCTGACCCACTGGGAATGTGATGAAATAAATAAAAGCTGAAATAAATCATTCTCTCTACTATTATTCTGACATTTCACATTCTTAAAATAAAGTGGTGATCCTAACTGACCTAAGACAGGGAATTTTTACTAGGATTAAATGTCAGGAATTGTGAAAAACTGAGTTTAAATATATTTGGCTAAGGTGTATGTAAACTTCCGACTTCAACTGTACATACAGATACCGAATAATACGAAATGCTCTGAGACCACATTGCATATAGAAGTACACTATCTGGTTTTGATATCTGGTTTCCAACAACAGGAGGGTTGCTGGTTTGAATCCCAGCTGACCGGAACAATCTGATGGGGAGTTAAAGCGTTCCTGTCGTTGTGCCCTTGAGCAAGGCACTTATCTCTGACTGCTACAGACAAAAGCTCACATTTTCATTCTCCACCAAGAAAATGAACAATAAAGCTTTCCCCTAATAAATATAAACACATGGACAAAGGGGATTTTTACATTGGCAACAGTTTGGCAACAGTTTTAACAGTTTGGAATAAAAACAAATTAAACATTATAGACATGTCTGTGGCCGTGTACATCCAGGTTTCCTTTGAACATATTCATTTGAACCTCAAGGGATTTAAACCTGGACAGTTAAAGGCTGAATGTGGCTGTGTACAGAGAGAGACATCGCCCTATTAAGTGTCTGCACAGTTTTTGGACTGCAGCCCTCAGTAGGCCTGGTAGGGTGTTCTATCCTGCCAACAGAGATGGGGGGGTCCACAGGGCCCTGTATGGATAAGGTTAGTGTCAGCTGTCTAGACGTTCCTCCATGGGGCAGAGACTGGGAACAATGGGAGGCTGAAGACAGAGACAATAGGGAAACAAACATACAGGCTGCCTTCCAAATGGCCCCCTGTTCCCTTAACAGTGCACTACTTTTGACCAGGGCCCATAGGGTAGTGCACTATGTAGGAAAGAGGGAGCTATTGGGGAGAGGGAGCTATTTGGGATGCAACCACAGCCAGGCGTCACGGCAGCTCCAGGCCTCTGGGTGGTGGTACTGTGTATCTGACATTGAATGATAATATTTAACATTACCTCCATTAAAATAACTGACTATAAATCAAATAAGAAAATATTTTATTCAGTCCAGTCAGTTGTGACTCACTGGACTCTTTCCATCAAGTACAGTGTTCCTTAAAAGAGTTAACTCCATTACTAGTTCACTGTATCACAGTATCATGTAGTGTCAATGTACGGTCTCTAGCTGGCCAGCGGTCTCTAGCTCTGGGTGCTAAGCATATGTACTGTATATCTCGGCCAAATAGGGTGTCCTAGATTCAAGTTGTAATACAAATAGATGGGGTCATATCTGGAGTGTTGGCCTAACTTTGAGGCAACTGTGCCAGTACAGTATCTTGTGATCAGAACCTTATAGGCTATCTGAGCTGCTGCTGTTCATCTGAGATTATTGCTGGAATGGAGGTGTGGCAGGAGGGACTTGGCACGGTGCCTGAATTCATCACTTTTTCTCAGAAGAAGAGACCAGGAAAAGCCTAGCAGCATCCATCCCTCCCCCTTTCTCACATAAATTCCAGCAGTCACATTACCCTGAACTCTGAAGCTGAGTGGCTTGTGATATCGTAGTGCATGGGGGTGGATGAGTGAAAGGTGGTTGTATGCCTCTAGGCCTAGACGGACCCATACTAGATTACTAACATTAACACTACACACAGATTTATTCCAGTTTATCCCACACTGACCAGTCCTAAACACAATCTTAAAAATAAATAAAGTCCCAGCTACCAGTACAGAGGAGTTATTTTAAAGCCTCACTCCTCAGTGACCGATCTTGTTACTGAGCTGGAAATAACTCATATTTCTTGTGCTGGCCTGAGTGACAAGAGCTGGTGTCGTCCCAGCTGATGTGGGGCCTGTTTAGTGGTGGTGGAATAGCAATGCAGAGAGGCTTCGCGTTTGGTCTTCAGAGTAGGCATTGGAG